CTGCACAAGTTCAAAGACCCTTCGAAGAGAATGGAAGACAACAGTTGTCAAATCCTCACCAACGGTGATCAGTGCTACTGAGAGTAGATTGTCCGCTTCATTTCGCAACGAAATGCCAATCGAAAGCGGAAGTGATACGAACCTACTTGGATGTGACAACTAACTGAAAGAAGGGTCAATGAGCAGATGTTGTGGAGGAAGGACCCAAAACTTCAGAAGTTTGCGAGGCGATGCTCGTTAAAGCTCCAACAAGCATCCACCCAGTTCAAGCAGCATGTGGAATTTTTGAGAGACTGGCGCAGTAAGGATGGTCTTTTCCTTCATTTTGGTGGATCCGCAGGAATCAACGAGGATCAACACAACTCAGCCAACCCCACACCAGAGTCAAGAGTCATTAGCGAGTTGAAGCAGCATGGCGGATCAAAAGTTCAACTACTCAAAAACAGCAGCGGAGAGCAGCTGGGAGCCAGGAGGCGCATTGCAGCTGGAGCAGAAGATTGAAGAATCAGCAAAGGCGAAGAGTTGCAGTGTTCACAAAGGCTTCGACGAGGACGTCGAAGGGATAAGTGGGGGAGAATGTCACGGACAAACTTCGAAACAGGGTGTTTGATGTAATGCTTATGTATGTCCGTGTCTTTTGGCATGTTCATGCCTTGTACAACATGTAGAGGGGCGGCCGAAGGCATAATAGTCCCATTTTAGTTGGGTTGGTGGCCTCTTTAGGCTTGTAAATAAAGGTTGTGTCATGTGGACACGCTCGAGAGCTTTTCGGTCTGTAATGGACCATTTTACCCTTTGTTGTGCCACTGTTCAGAGCTTGTAAAGTTTGTTTGTAATTTGCATTGTCAATGAAGTGTTTTTCGGACATGTTTGCTTGTGGATCCCGATTGAGGCGTTCTCTCTAACCCGTTCTCTCTTTTGGTGGTCCTAAGGGACAATGGGAGGCTTCGGGGAGGCTGACCTTTGCGGACGGACACGCAGGGGTGCCGCACGACTTAGGCAAAACCAGCTAAGTCCGTGACATATGTGTGCACTAGGCGACGCACTTCAATTGGGCGCCGCCTGGGCGCTCGCCCGAACACAAGCGCTGGTTGCTTCGGGCGAGTGCCCGACTTTATTAGTGAACCGAACCGATTTAAGGTTGGTTCAGTTCGTAGTTTCTTAACTCAAAACTACGCTTCAACCTTGCACGACCCCGAGGAACCGTATCGCTCCTTTTTCCTTTGCCGCCGACGCTTCCTGTCGTTGCCTTCGCTACAGACGCAGCGGACCGAGCCTTCCTTTGTTGTCGACGGACGTGTTCGACGACCCTCGTAGCTTCCTTCTATTGTCGCATCCTTCCATTGTCGAGGGAGAGGACCGCAAGTTCCTTCACCACCGACAGACGCCCTTTGGAGCTTCTGTCGCTGCCACTGTTGCTGTTTGCAGCTTTCGCTACCGTTGCCGCTGCTATCTGCAACTTTCACCACTATTGTCCGCAGCTTCTGCCGTTGCAGCTGTTGCTGTCTGCAACTTTCGCTGCTATCACTGCTACTGTCCGAAGCTTCCGCCGTTGCCGCTGTTGCTATCTCTATTACTATTAACATTTTTTTCTCCCCCCTCTAACTTTAAGTTATATATTATTAACAGTATATTAAATCACTATCGTTGTTGTCATTCACAGCGTTGCTGCTATATCCCTTTGTTACTATTAACAATTTTTTCTCCCCCCTCTAACTTTAAGTAATATATTGTTAACAGTATATTTTTAATTTAAATAATTATATTTTTAATTATATTATTTATTATTTATATTTTAATATTTTAGAGAATATTTTTTTCTCCTCTTCTAACTTAAGTAATATGTTGTTAACAGTATATTTTTAATTATATTATATATTTTTATATTTTAGAGCGTTTCGCTTTGCTTAAACAAGCGCCTAGCACCTCGGGCGTTTTGAGACCTTAGCGTCTAACGCTTTTTTAAATCACTGGTTTTGACATTTTTGTCTTTCCCAATGAGACTGAATTAGAGATGAAATGACATAGTAGCTGATGCAAGAGAGAAATAGGAGGTTTCAATGGTTAATGTTCATCCAGATTAGAGTGATTTTTTAATGCTCAATTATAACAAAAAAATAAAAACAGAAGATAGAATGGTTTATAACCAAGAAAGTAGGATTTATACATATGGAATCTATGGCTTACAAATTTTTCTTTGTTTTGATGACTGATTGAATTTTGCCTTATTTATATCAGGTCAAATCTTAATTATGGTTTAGTCAAGTTCAAATTTGTTTTCATGTATTTTTGATGATTTTCGTCCTCATTCGTCCTTATTTATATCAGGTCAAATCTTACTTTTGCCTTTTTATTTTATGTTTCTTTCTTTTATTTTAAGGGAGTTGTTTGGGTATTAGGACAAGCGTCCATGGAGTTGTTATAGGTCTCAGTGTTGGATTTTTGGGCTTCCAAGATTTCCACAAAAAAACTCTTCTCCTACAAGTTTCCTTGATTGGCTATATGCTGGAGGTAGGTCTCTTTAGTTGATTATATGCTGGTGGTCTTGATGGTGTGTCATGAATTAAAATGTGTTCCTCTGTAATTTCTATTTTGTCCTGAGTGCCAATACATTTCTCATATGACAAATTTACTAGCTTTTAAGTTCAACAGGTGATATATTTTCAAGTTGAGATTATCGTGCAAAATTTATTTGGAATGGTTTTATTGATGAGGGATCTAAATTTTATCTTTGATTTTTTAGATTTCTTTTGCTGTAAGATACTGTAGTGATTCCTAGATTTTTTAAAAACCTTTTCTCCTTGGTTTGGTGGTTATGTTCAATTTCATCTTAGAATCAAGTTTATCATCATTTTGATCTTTACTTGAGTTTGCACGTTGTACCTATGTATACATGAACTATTTATACGTTGATATTCTCTCCGTTTTATTACACAGTTTGTTAGAAGAGTTGTACTAACACTAGAAAGATAAGATGTCTATTTTTTAAGAAATATGATTTTCACGAGATAAAACACTTAATCAGTTATTTTGATTGTTTGCTTTATATTGCTTTTTGTACTTGCCAGTAGATACAGAAGTATTGGTAAACATGAGAGGGTACGTGCATTAAGTTGTGGTATCTTAAAATTGAGAAGATAGTCATCAATTCATAACAAGAAATGGAATGTCAGAAGATGTTGGATGAACCTCTTTCAATGTTGCTTGCATATGTTACTTTCATTTCTGGTTTTTTTGTGCACTTTGGTTGATTTCCGTCTTGCAATATCAGCATCTCCTGACCTTAGTTTTTCAGTTTGGCAAAGGTCAAGTGTTAGGGTGAACAACTATGACCTCAGAAAATAGGCAATTTCTTGCACTTCTTCTACTTTTTTTTTCTTCAAAATTTTCCCATGTCTGCATGTTGTATATGGAGTTCTGATGTTGCTTGCCAATGGTGGATTTTAGCAAACTGATTTCCAATAAACCGCTTGGCATTTGTGTATGATTACTGAAAGATGATTAGAATGATATGGTTATTGTTTACCTGTGTTTACACCATTATTCAGCATAATTTTTCTGTGTTTATTGCATTTCATTGCGTTCTTGTTTCAATAATTTTACTACCTTTAGCCTCTTGTCTCGTGTCCTTGGTAAGGTGTTCCAGGTGTTATTCTCACATTGCATCATAGCATGTCTTGTTGCCACTTCTGATTGATCATTCTTTTTTTCTAATGTTGTTTTTGTTTCACACAATTTCTTGTATATGTGCTTCTCTGTAATGAATATTGTTGTTCTAGAATAAGTTCATGGAAAAGGTGGTTGATCCACTAGTTTATTCCTTTTAAATGTCAATCTCTTCGAACTTTCTTGATAGTGGAGCTTGAAAATTTTCATGTGGTTCCTTTGAGGCTTTTGTGGTGAATGATCCTGAAATAATTAGATCTTTGAATTGCATAATATTTGCTACTAGACTGTTGCATTTTATGGTTTACATAGGATTGCAGTGCTGTGTATATGTGATCCTTAATAGATCCATGCCATTTCACGAGGAAAAAAATTTGCATAATACTTATAAGTGATATCTGCTTAATTCAACTAAGAGAGTGATATTTCATTTATGCAGCAAGACGTGAAATCTCCTGAGCTTCATGTTAGTGCATCTGCGTTGGAGCATGTTCTTATCAGTCTTGTTTCGCATGTTGGTCAGCAACCATGCCAATGTTCAAATGCAGATCCGAGATGGAGTTTTTCATTGCAAATTCTTTCCATTCCCTTTCTGTGGCATCATTTGCCATTTTTCAAAGAGGTAGTTCTTCAAAGTGCCTTAGGAAGGTCATAGAAAGGTGCTTTGACTATGAAAGCTGGATGAAGATATTGTTGAAATAGTTTAGGATGAAATTGAATCACTTCTTAGTTTTGTTAATTTTAATTTGGTTTTAGTTTAAGTATGTGACTATGTGCTGATGTGCATTAAAAAAATCGACGTAGCTCTTTAATTGCCAGTATGTGATTATAATGTGTATCTTTTTAGAGTATTTAGATACCTATAAAGCTCTTTTATTGCTTGAATGATCAGTATTTGTTCCTCTAGCTTTCTAGTGATTACTTTTATCTCATGTTCTTCACTAGTTCTTATTTTTTCCCCTTTTTCGGTCCAAGGGTTTAGGCAGGTTTTATATTCATCAAATGGCCAATTTTTTGCCTAGTCATGCTGGTGTCCTTCCGGATGATATATTACAAGAATATCCTGGTCATGCATGCTTACTTGGGAATTTACTTGAAGTTGCTGGAGTTGTTTTATCTGATCCAAGCTCTACTTATCATACAGTAAGTCTTATGAAATTTGTACCTTTTAAAACCTTGAACCGTTCTTTCATAGTTAAGGTCAATTGTCTTGATTTGTATATTTGTGAACTGTTTTTTATAAAATTCTTGCAAGCAAAAAGTTGTGGATATCTTGGATCTGGTATCCAACATGATGAAGGTGAGTCGTGGTACAACATCTGGGTGACCAGGGATCCAATCACATGAGCATCTCTATTTGTGGGGATAAGGTTGCATATGTTAACCATCACCATATTCATCACTGGTGGGAGCATCATCTAAATATTGATGAAAATGTATTTGTAGAGTAATCGTGCTTTATGAATTCAGGTGTTGGATGGTTAAATAACAATATTCACAAAAAAGTTTGTGTAGTAATTGTAGTTAATATGAGAATATTAAGGTGAATATGTAGGGTTACATGCAAGATGGTATAAATAGATTCAAAGGAGACTTATAGATGTTATGTTGGACGAGTGAGTTGATTAAAGATGGGAAAAATCACCTGTAGATTATAAAATGTGAGAGAATCATGCAAGATGGTATAAATACATCTGAAGGAGACTTGTAGATGCTATGTTAGTATTAGCGTATGAAGAGAAAGAGAAGGCGATATAATTGGACTTAAATATAGTTTGTGCATAAATACTAGAATCTGTAATATTTATGCTTTTGATTTAACTAGAGGCACTACATATGCAAAGCTCAATAATGGGAAATGATCCATGTGTGGACCCCAAATGGTTGGTACATGATGGCTTGTTGTTGTACAAATTTAATTTTACATTAATATAGTTTGTGTACGAATTCTGTCATTATGATGAATCCTTTTTGGATTCATATACAAATAGCTTGTTGTAGTATTTTTTATGCTTTTGTGTTAACTAGTGGGATTACCTATACAAAACTCAGTAGTGGGAAATGATCCATGTGGCGGACCCCAAATGCTTGGGACATGATGGCTTGTTGTTCTACAAATTTAATTTTACATTAATATAGTTTGTCCATGAATTTTGTCATTATGATCAATCCTTTTTGGACAATTTTCCTGATCCAGTTTCTGAATTTGTATTGCCATGTGCATTTGTTCTTCTGCATCTTTTGCTGTCCCTTTGTATTGTATCAAGTTCCGTGTTAGACTGTTGGTATGCTTTGCTTTAAAACTTTTACTCCATGAAAATATACTTTGCTTTAAGACTTTTACTCCATGAAAATGTATGTCGTCCTTGTTGGTTTGCATAGTATATCGACTGTCCTTTCGGTTCTATATTGATAGCATGATTGATTTTGAGAATACGATAATTTTTATCTTGGTATTGAGTTATTATATTGAAAAATTCTTTTTTTTTATTTCCTTAATCAGGCAATTGATTTTCTGACTGTTTCGACATTTTTATTGGAAGTATTGCCTTCAGTGGACTCGTCACCTGTACAAAGTAAGTGATTTTTGTATTTCCATCGGTGAAGATTTATAATTGTACGTGCTGCTGTTGGCTTTTCATTGATTAAATTTGGGATGATTTTGTTGTAATTCTTCTCATGTTCAAAGTATCAAATTATGCTAAGCAACTCAACATAATATCATAATTCCATGAATCATATTTTGCACTTCACAATTTATTTCATGAATAATTATGGTTCTCTTACAGTCATTAGATAGACTTCTGATTTATTCTTAGGGCAAATAAATTTTTTGTGTTTCCAAGTGGCCTGAGCTAAATCCTGACTGAGCCAAGCCCGTGAGACCGAAAATCTGTGAAGCTGACCATGCCCACTGACATCTACTGAACATTCTACATTTTGAGGATTCTATGGATTGCATAGTGAAAGTCACGTTTATCTTGTGGAAATATTTCTTTGCAAATAGAATATAGTTATTGTGATATGTAGTTGTCTAGGACGTGCTATTATTTCAACAGCATAAAGGAAACAACCTGTACTAGAAAGTTTCTTCTATCTAAATTAAAAATGAATGATTAATCTGGAATGAAGGGCTTTTTTAAATGACTTGGAGATGTTTAGTGAATGATCTAAATCATCTATATTTTGTCGTTTGTTGATGCCATTTTAATACAATATTAGGAATCCTATTTCTGTTGCTGCATAGATGTCAAATACGATAATTTTTGGGTCTATTGGTTTTGGACTTGAAAGCAAGCATTAGATAGCTTTAGAGTGATATTTGCAGGGAGATCCAAATAAAAACACTAGCAAAGGCTACCATGTCGTTCCACTGGTACATGCCATGCTCTAAGTACTGTACTGGCTACGTGGGCTCTCTTTTGCTGATTAATTTGTCGTCCATGTTATTTAGAGGATCAAGACTCATGATCTTCAAGGAAAGGCTAATCAGTGTACTTGTAGTGCTTTTTAATGGCCAATTTTGATAGGTTAATGTTGCTGTCAAGCTTTGTTATGGCATTTACTGCTTTATTGTTTCTTATCACCTTCTTTTTACTTCTTTTTGCTTGCAACAACTGATATCTGCAAGGAATATTCAGAACCAGTTGATGATGAATTAACAATGGATGATGAAGTTCTAAGTCCAGATTTACAGAAGCAGATATCCAGTTCAATAGATTCATGCCTTTTACAGCATTTGGTAGGCAAATCTTGTGATCATATGTCTCGTGAAAGCACCCTCTCTGAACCCATTCTTCTTGGCATATATGGCTAATTATATCTTTCTGAAGCTGAGACTGATGTGTTATTCAGGTGAATGCTTTGTTAAAAGCTACATGTCCAACTGGTTATTCTGATAAGACTTGGCCATCTAATATAGAAGTGGAAGCAATAAGTGCTGTTTGCACTTTTCTTCATGTTACATTCTGTACGCTGCCTCATGAACTCATCATGACCCTACTAGCCTACAGAACTGAGCTTCTTCCTGCTCTTTGGAATTATATAAAGAGATGCCATGAGAATCAAAGATGGTCATTCTCTTCTAAGCTCACAGCGCATATACCTGGAGATACTCCAGGTTGGCTGTTGCCTCTGGCAGTTTTTTGCCCTTTGTACAAGTAAGGCTGTTGATTGTATTTATGGTGACACATTCGATAAATATTTTTTAAGTTCATTTGTGTTTATGCTATTTCTTTATCATCATAACTAGCAAGTTCTTTTTGTTACTAACTCTTGTGTTCTTTAGGCACATGCTAAAGTTTGTTGATACTGAAGAATTCTATGAGCAGGAAACACCAGTTAAAATAAAGGATATTCCATCTTTGGTTATCATTATAAAGCAGGTATTTTCTGCCGTTAATTTAACACACCACTTCTATTTTTGCTGTTTTGTTTGTTGGGAACTACATAACACATTACATTTTATGTTTAAAATTACCATTTATGTTGTACTGTTGCACTTGATCCCTGTGAGACCATAACACTTCGGTATTAATGTTGGCATGATTTATTTCGACAGGCCTTATGGCAGCTCCTATGGACAATAAATGGGCACGTGTCGTCTCAAAATTCATCTAGATCTCTTCCAGGTGACAAGAAGCTGTCTGTGGAACTAATTAACCGTAAAGCCAGGGTTGCAATGTCTGAGCTTCTGAGCCAGGTTTTTTTTGTTTTATTTTGAATTTTTGTACAATAATAATCTTTATTTCATGATGGAAGATTTGTGTTGGTTGTCTAAACAGAGATTATTTTGTAATATATTATTTTCTTTTGATTTTAAATGTAATGCAGTTGCAAGACTGGAACAGTAGAAGGCAGTTCATGTCTGCTGACGATTTCCATCTTCAAGAAGCAAGGAGTAAAACTTTTGTTTCTCAGGTGAGTTTTTTTGTCTCTTTTCCTAGTTTCCTTTTCCCTTTCTCTTTGGAAGCTTGATTCACACAGTTCTTTCTTTCACCAGGCCTTACTTGGAAATACTCGAGCGTCTGATATATTAAAACAAGCTCCATTCTTAGTGCCATTTACAAGCAGGGTCGAAATTTTCACTGTATGTCTATAAATGCTAAAACACTTCTGTTTTACCTATTAAATTTGGAAGTTGCTAAGGATTTTTCATTAATAACTTATTCACTGGATTGCATGAAATCGCAACTTAATAGAGTTGCATGCAAACTGTTGATATCGATGACCTGAATTAGACAACTTTGATAAATTTTTTATTTCTAATTCAAATTCATCTCGTGCCTCAGTCAGAGTTAGTGGCTTCTAGACAAAGAAGTGGAGCTCATCCTGGTTTAACTAGACTCACTTTCAAAATAAGAAGAAATCGAGTACTTGAAGATGCTTTCGAGCAGCTGAGTACATTATCTGAGGATGATCTTAGAGGACCAGTATGTTGCTTACAACTTATAACTTATTTGATGAGACAATGGAATGTCAATGCAGTAGTTGAATAACTCAATGAATTTGATTCTCTTGAAATTTGTTGATGCCTGCAGATTCGGATATCTTTTGTTAATGAATTTGGAGTTGAGGAGCCTGGGGTTGATGGTGGTGGAATTTTTAAAGATTTTATGGAGAACATAATCCAGGCTGCTTTTGATGTCCAGTTTGGGCTATTCAAGGTTTGTGGTCTAGTTTTGCACCTCTTTGTTGTCAGTAATATTTCTTTTAGTCTTTCTTCTTTACAAAGGTAATGCATGACAATAATATCAAAAACATGCTAATAACTGATTTGCCACTTCTTGATCGAGAATAGCTGGATATTAAAATGGTGAAGCTGGTAGTTGAGCTAGATTATAAAGATAAATTTGGACTACAGGAGTATGGTGATCTTGAATGGTTCTTATGTGAACTTTGCAATGTTCAGAATATGGCAACAATGTTGCTTTTAGATACATAACTTTTGCCCATACATTAATTGACAACGAAAGAAACTAAAAATATTATATGCAATATGTGAATTGGCGTTAGGAAGAGAACCAATAAATTGGTAACTAAATGAGGATTACGACTTGCTTTTCTAGATCTTTTGCATCATGTTAACATTTCTTGATGGGTTAAAGCTTCAACTAAAATACACATCTTATTGTGAGAGTGGGGGCACAACAGATTTGTATTCTTTGTCTTGGTGCTTTTCTCATTTTGTGTTTTCCATTCCTCTTGTAATCTGTTTTAGGAAACACCCGATCATCTTCTGTACCCGAATCCTGGATCAGCATTAGTTCACAAACAACATCTTCAGTTTTTCCATTTTCTTGGGACTCTTCTCGGGAAGGTACTTTCATTATGTTTTCCTGCCCCTTTTTTGCATCTTGTAGAAGTTCGTTCAGTATTTATGTGCCTCTTTGTGTTTGCTTTTTGCTGCATCTGTCATCTTGCATTTTCTGAAATGAAATTGTGGTTTAGTTTTTTTTTTTTCTTTTAATACCTCTCTCATGACAGCATTTTACTATGACAGATGGAGTGTTGCCTGCTTGCCATCTATCCATATCTTTTCTAGCACTTCAGCATTCTGTTTTATGTTAATGGGTAAACTGTGAGATGCAGATTCTAGAAAATCGATAAACCATGTCCAACTTGTCCTGGAGAAGTACATACATTTTGTGTAATACATAAATATGTTAAATTTCTGAAGAAAATTTTAATTATTATGCTTAATTTTTCAAATGATTGGTTCCTTTATACTTGAAAAAGTTAAAATTTGTGTTTGAACTTAGCTTTTATGATTTTTTACTATTTTGACTTGTGATAATATTACGACAACAGCAACAAATCACAACGTTCCAATTATGGATCAAATTCTCGATCTAATATTGATATTGCTATTGATTGGTGGTTGGAGCCGTATGGTACTGATACGTGGTGG